TTTTGAGTGGATAGAAGTTGATTATTGTAAAATAGAAGTTATGTGTGTGGAACTAACATCTTCAAAATTATGGAAGGCAAAATTTAGGGAATAAGGAAAAATCTGGAAGATATCTCTAACTATAAATCGATAACTATTTTAATTTGCTGATTGTCATTGCAGGAGAGATTTAATTGTGTGAAGAGAGTTGTATATGCTCTCTTCATTCCGCTTTTGGTTCAACATATCTATGTGAATAAATCTTTTTTCGTATGAAAAATATTTTGAGTCCACAAAGATGTTGCTCAAACACTGAACATTCAGAATCATGTGTCAAATTGAAAATCCCTAACTATATCCTTGATATTGCGATATTAAGTATAGATGTGCAGGGACAAATTTCATTATAAAATTTTAAATTTTTTTATTTACCTATTTTGAAGGAATACTTATATTTACGGCTGTTATATTTTATTTTAATAAATATGTCTAAGTGATGCTCAATACAAAACGTATGAACAATTTAATTTCCTATTGATTCTGAAGGAATAGTTATATATTACGTTGTGTATGTGTGTGTGTTTATTTTCAATTTAGTAAATATCATTAAATGGTGCTTACATGGTAACTGATATATGATAAAACTCTAAATTTGCATCCTTGACCTTTATTTCCTTACTCTGCGTACACTAACACGGGTATCGAATTGTTTAAAATATTTCATATTGAGCAGCATCCTGAATCCTATTGGTAGATTGGTTTGGCATATCACAGCTACTATGTAAGTTTTCGATCCCTGGTATGGAATATATTTAAAATATACATACACAGAAAGTGAAACACACACAGTGTTTCTTAAATATCATAAGAATATAATTGATATTTCTTTGTTTAATAGGTTTTCGATTTAATCGTCTGCTTACAAAAAGTGAATTATTCTACTATGGTTATTTTCTTCTAGACTACTGTATTTTTACAACAATTTGTATTTTTTTAAGGTATTATGCAAATGATAAATCGAAAAAAAGATGATGCAGTAAATATTTCCATTTTATAGTTTTTTTTATTCCTTTCAACTTTTTTTTCCTTTTGGATGTACATTTATTGTATAGAACTTTATTCAGCAAATTTCCTGTTTGAAATGCAACTAAAGTCGGAAAGCTGATTAAGAGAGGGCTACTGTGCATTTATTTGAAGAGGAAATTTTTTTTCATTAATGATATTCGTTTTTTATATTTTGAAAAAAAAAAATCTCGTTTGTAAAAAAATAGCTCTGCTGATTCAATATTAACACATGCCAAACTTTTTTTCTGTCAAGTTCTCATAAAATAAGAAGTATTCTACTTTATTTTATACCTACGCACTTTTTTGACACCGTGTTCTCAAAACGACAGCATATTTAACGTTCCAGTAGGAAGTAACACGAGAGTTGTTGGAGACATACCTTATAATTTTGAACAGTGGTCGAGAGACTAGAACCCATAGGCCCCGCTGCATGGCTATTCTTATGTAGAATCAAGACTCGAGTCCCCATCTTGACGGAAACAGCGCCGGCCGTAAGTTCGCGACCATGACCACTCGGCTACTGCGGTTATCCGAAATTATTAAACAAATTACTTCGCAGAATTTGGAATTAGAATATAAACATAAAAATTAAATTAATAATTCTTCGCACATACAGAATTCTTTCTAATGGAATTTCACGGAATTTACTGGAAATAAAACATTTTGATACGTGAAACGCATTTTATGAATGTTTATTTCACACATCGAAGGAACAAATGAAGAAAATGATTTTTGCGCAGTAATTATTCTTCTAAGAGAACACATATTTTTGTGACGAAAATAATTATAAAGGAAATCATTTTCGTAACTAGTCTTTTACGAATATTGATTTTTGACTTAAAAAAAAAGGAATTAGAAGAGAAAGAGGAAAACACAAGAAAACCAAATTTGAAACCTTATATTTTTCCTAATATATAAAAAACAAGATATATAACAAATATTGAAAACTACATACAAGAATCAAATTGACATAAAAACCAACTTTTGAAGTGATTTAATGCACGATCTATTCAGTGTACTATTCCAGAACAATCTTTCTTATTTTTTATTTTTATCACAACAACACGTGTGACAAGTGAATTAGTGAGTCACATTGAGTCACTCATCAACTGGAATTAATCCAATTCGTGCCAAGAGGAACCACTTTTGACGCCAAGGCCAATGCCTTGATACGCGCCAAAGTAGTTGACGAAAGATCGGAGAATTACCCAACTAAGCCTTTCACTTATTCGAACTCATTGTTTACACAGGAAATGTCTGTATAGCGTCTTTGAAGCTCGAATAGAGTAGTATTTATCGAAGTATATTTAGCTGGGACTAAATATAACTTCGATGAAGGAAAAAAAAACTCAATGGCTTCTAAATCCGTACACAATCGTAGGTTTATTTGTTGACACTGATCAGCATAAATGGTTTCTCTAGTGTGTGGTTGTAATAACGGGAAATTCTGATTGGTTGAATTAATTTGAAAATGAAGGGATTTGAAAAGAGCTGAATTTGAAAACTGAAAGTACGTCAGAGCGGCCATTATGTTGCTATAGTAACGCGGATTTTAATTTTATGTTCAATCTGCACGTGTGTGATATGGTCGGCATTGTTTCCATCAAGTCTTGGGTTCGAGTCAACGTGTCACTAAGACCCTCGTGTGGCATGGCTCATGCAAGTTAAATCTGTCGTTGCTCAAAGTCCTGAAATTCGCGTAGTTTGGAGAATGGAAAGCCAGCACAGGTATCGTCCTCGTCAATTGACCGTGTTTCAAAAATGCGACTTCGTCGCCATTAGCACTCTTTGAACAAATGTTTTCAAGTGCTTTTTTTTAGAGGGGGGGAGTTCACGTGAGTTTGTAGATTTTTTTTTATCCAGAACTTTTTTCTATTACCATCTGATTTTTAACAACCAGGCAATCAATTTTCTTTAGTAAAATTTTTTTAAACAAGGTTATTTGTTATCTTTATTTTGATTTTTTTTTATTTAATCGCACTGATTTGTATTGGGCCACTTTTACTGTTTTCTTATATATTATTTTGTACTACTTTTATTGGTCTTCTCACTCTTTGTCAAACCATTTTATCTTGAATAGGAACTTTTTTTTCCCTGTGGTATTGTACGTCAAAGTATTTGTTACGTTATAAATTTGTTTGGCTGTGATATTGCTTGTCTGTGTTGCATGAATTGTTTTTCTGATATTGTATGTTATATATTTATTTTCAGATATTGTTATCTTGTAATTTTGAGCTTCGATAAAGTGTGACGCGGATGACACCTGAGCTGGCTCCTCCCTTTCCAAACTTGCGCACCACACCAACGGGTGGATTTTGGACTTCAACTACATTTATGTGCATCAGTCCCACTATTACGGGTCTTTAGAGGCATCAAGACTCGAATCTACTGCAAAACCCACGATGCTCGCCATGACCACAATGTTATTGTGGCAACTTTCATAGCTATTTCATTCATTCGCTATCTCTTTGCATAGATTGCATGTAAAAATTCCTAGTTTGGTTGAATTATAAATCGAACCCTCGGCACGACGAAAACAGCTCCAACCGTAAGTGTAAGACCGTGTCCATTAGGCTACAGCAGCCATATAGTATTTGTGGAAAGTAGTTCAAAGCTATATAGGCTTCCACTAAACATAACTTCCATCCTTTCTTCCAAAAACTGTGTATTAACTTTTATCATTCGATGTTACGCAGTTCCAGAAATATTGACGCTTCGAAATATGATTTTTAGCAAATATAAACTTTTCTCTATTTGCTATGGAAAGGAAGGAAGGGTTCTTTCCAAGTTACCTGACAGATAAAATTTGCTGCTCAAAATACTATCGAAATTATTCCTCCAGAAACTCTTCTTCCTACTGCTAACTACAGAAGTAGATGAGGCGATTGTTATAGTGCTCATCTTAGAGTTTTTCTAACTTTTTGAATGACGTGTATGTTGTTCGTCGAACTGAAGACATTTATTCTTAATCTTTCAGGTTTTATTAGAAATTTTACCCAAATTTTTTATAAATTTTGATAATTTTTATACGCTTACATGAGTTCTTCCTTCAAACATTTGCAAGACAATTTTAACTATAATTCTAAACTAAAAACTAAATGAGCTGCAAATAAAGTTAAAAAATTTTGACAAAATTTTGGTAAAAACAGCGATTCCATGTTCAAGCAAAGGAATTAAAAAAAGGCATACGTTTTCTTTCATTGTATATTGTAGTTAGGTTTGTTTTTCTTTAAGTCATTTTCATTAAATGGCAATATTTTGTCTTAAATACTTCATTTCCTATTTAAATCATACAATTTTGTGATTTCAAGTAGCAATGTGAGATATATATAAGTAAAGCTAGAAATTTTTTTAAGTTTAATATCATTTTTTATCAGAATGTTACTTTCTAGCATTTTTTGTAGAATGCATTTGATGGAATTTCTTAAAATTATCACTGTAAATTTTGCTCTTGGCAGTATTCAATATTACATAACTTTATCAATAATTCATTAAGCAGTTCTAAATTTCATGTGTATAGTGACGCATAAATTTTATCGAATTTTAATCTTTCAAAATTTATTAAATACATTTAATCTGTATTTCATTCTAAGACTATTTTTAAAATAACTTTTTTTCCTTTCGAGAGAAAAAATTAAACGGTCAACAATTACCGGTAAAAAAAATTTATAAGCAGTGCGAAAATACCCAAATATTGATAAATTTAAAAAAAAATTCGAAAATGAAATAAATTCAATGGTAGATTTAATGCCAAAATTAGTCACAGGAAATTTTTTAATTAATATAACAATTTTTGTCTTCCCAAAAACATTGGTTTCTAGGAAAGCATGTTAAAAGTGTTAAGACATTTCAAAATACATGTTATTTATCACTTTTTTATCTTTGAAAAGCATGTGATTGATCATAAAAGTCAAACCCATAAGAGTAACCACTCATTTTTCTGAAAGGGTGGTCGTGGCTCGTTAGCTCAGTTGGTTAGAGCTTCGTGCTAATAACGCGAAGGTCGCTGGTTCGATCCCTTCACGGGCCATTTAATTTTTATGAGTTATCTCTCTATTTTAACTTTATAGAAATTTCATTAACATTTCCACTTATTATTAAAACATGGGTAATCGAAGCCCGTTGGCTGACTAATCAGAAGTCTTTCTTCACCCGTAAGTGTATTTGGTTTGAGAGTCGTGCTAAATTTTCGAATGTCACGGGAACGATTCTTTCAAGGACCTGTTTTATTTTGAAAGTTGTTGAAAACAAGGCCCGTATTATCCAATCTTTTATATATACGAGTAGCTAGTGTTAGAACTAAATTTGTTACGATGACGCTACAAATGCGAAAGTCGCTTGGTCCGTCCCGAAACCGGCAGGATTACGTGTCAAGCCCTTCATTCAAAGAAAATTCTGTCAGACACCGGTGAAATGTTCAAAAAAATTCATTTATTTTATTCATCCCTTAATAAAGCCTGTTTTTCTAATTCGTGGGAATAAAATTGCTATACGTAAACATTGGATTGATAGGTAGAAAAAAATAAAAGTTCTACAAATGAAGTACGTGTCATTTTGAACGTTGGCAATACATGTACATAAAACATAATGGAATTTCTTGGTTTGAATTTCGGTAGAGTGTACAAAGTTTTGCGAGAAATATGCATTTAAAAGGTATTCAAACTTAATATAGACTTTAAATTTCTAAAGAAAGGAAGTCTAACAAATTGTGTGAATCTGTATTTTTGAAGACTTTTCTTAAAAATTTAAATGTGGAAGAAGAAATATGTAACACTTGTGGCAAATTTAGAAATTAATATATATCTTTATTGAAGATTTTACTTTAATTTATAATTTAAAAGAAGCTAATTTCATACGTTATTGTAAATTAATATTTGTTACGTAATTGTAAATTATCATTCCAATTGTGTTAGAAACAACATTAAAACCTTTTGACATTATTTTGAAAGAACAATGATTCTAAACGTTCAAGCAAGTCTTCTTTCGCTAGTTGCATCCTTCGAGACACACTTCGCTTCATGTCGTACAGTTGCATCTTTCGAGATTACATGAGCTCTTATCACCAGTTGTATCTTTCGAGACAGACATATCCTCTTACTGTTAGTTGCATCTTTCGAGGCAGACGTATCCTTTTACTATTAGTTGCATCTTTCGAGGCACGTGCGTCCTTATATCTCTAGTTCTTACATTTGAACCATACGCGTCTTCATATCTCCAGTTTTATCTTTTGAACCACGCTTGTGCCAGTCGAATCTTTCGAAGCACACGTATCATCTTATCGCAAGCTGCAACTTTCACATCACGTGTGTATTCTTACCGGTAGTTATATCCTTTGAAGCACACGTATCCTCTTATCACTACTTGCAACCTTCAAGTCACACTTGTCCCTTATTCTTAGTTACATTACGTATCCTCTTATCCCTAGTCACTTTTTTAGGCCCTTATTACACTTATTTTAGACACACGGTGTATTTCCACTCCAGGACAGTTATGTTCTCTGGCCCTTAAGATCATAATACAGAGTGTTTACTGAAGAAGAATCCAACTTTGAAGAGTTACAATTACAAAAGTAAAGAATTTACTACCTTTTACGATTTAATAATTTTAAAATACCACTTAAAATGTTTCATAAAGTTACAAATGTTCAATATGGCCACCACCAGAAACACGAATGATACCCAATTATACGATACGATGGATTTATCTCTGAGCAGATGATGACTTTGCTTTTAATCAGTGGTTCCCAAACCCCTGATTTTAAACACTTTGTAATACCCTGTGAACACCTTGTATTTACTACTCTAAGGCGCAAGCACGCTACATCTCTCTTTACCACACGCAGGGTGCTTTACATTCGTTCTCTCTCTGCCGTTGAGGCCCACAGGCGTCTACTACTACTACGGTTAGAGAATATTTTGGTAAAAGTATACCAGAATTAAAAAAAAACAGTTTAAGAAAAATGCAAGGATAGATATTTTTTATTCGGTGTTACATGTTTGTGTATCCATATAGTCTTAAAATGCAATTTCCTCTTTTGTACTACTTATCAAATTCTCATAAATATTTCAAGGGTTTATCGTAAAGTTTTAATTATTACTAAAGAGAAACATGGATAAAATTTGCTCTTAATGTTACATGATGTTGTAAATTATACTTATTAATATTGATTTTTTTGGGTATTTTTATCAACGTCACATTAGAAACAACAGGAGAGCTATTGGCGACGGACCTCGAAATTTTGAACCTCGTTCAAGTTACAAGGACGACACCTGAGTTGGCATCCTTCTCTCCTAACTTCCACACCACGCCAACGGGAGTAGCCTCAATGCTCAAACCCGCGACTCGACGAAAACCGCCAGCTACGAGTTCGCGGCCACGATTTGTTTGCTTTCAAAAAGCTGTAGATTGAAACAACCATTATAATAAAAAACTAAATATAAAATACTAAAAAATAATAATAATCAAGAGTAGAAACTCAATTTTGATTTATTATTTTTAAGATTTTTCTACTTATTCACTATCCAGTGATATATATTTGCCCCGGCGTTTTTTAGCCGTTCAAAAGCCATTGTTAAAGATCTCCTCTGATGGAATTCTATATTCTCTACACTACGGGTTATTTTATTCTACGGCTTTCTGAATCCAAACAAGCCTACATGAATATTTGTAATTTACCACATCATGTACATATGGAACAATTAATATGCAGAATAAATTTTATCCAGATATATTAGTAATTTCATTGTAATAGTTAAGACTTTACGATATGATCTCGTACATCTATTTATCAGCGAATCTCTCTCCAATTTTTAACTGCAAAATTTGCAGTGTTTTTGCGTCTCTGTAAGACCTTAAGCGACATCAAATTAAAATAACTTTTTAAATTTGGAGTTTCAGGATATTTGGGAAATTGATATCTTGACTATTTTTAAGGGTGGGACAACTCCTCGAACATAGAATACATCCATGAATGAAGACTCAGCAATAATGACACAATAATGATAACGATCGTCCTTGTCAGCCACTTTTCTAAGAACAGTACCTTCTAAATGTTTTTTCCTCTAAGAACAAATTTATCTCTAAGAACTTCAATTAGCGCAGAAATAAAAATAAAAATCGCCCGTTAGATATCGCTTGATCTTATTCACAATACAAACGTGCCGTCAAATAACCCCAAAAACTGATTATTTAAAGTTGCTGAAGTTTGAAAAAGTCACCCAGAACTAGCGATCAAGCGGAAAAAGAGCTGAAAATCACGGAAACGAATCGTGAAGCGAATCGTATTTTTAAATACTGGGAGCTCAACCCCCCCTTCCTCCTCCCATAAAACGATCGAGGCTTTTCCAAGAAAACCCTGAAGTTCTAGACCACCTCTAATTTTATTTGCTTTGAAATCGGATTTGGCATTTTGCCCCCTACCTCCCCAAGTGACGTCAGTAGCTTCATTTTCGTTCTCTAGACGTTTATTGCTCTCTGCGAAATTGTGGAAGTGTTTTTCTCTTTGTCTAGCAGTAAATTAATTTTACTCATAATTTAAGAGGAACAGTGTTTGAGATAATAGTAAGCTGGCTCGCTGAAGTGGCACGTTTGTTTTTGTTTGGATGGGATTTTCGTGAATTTAAAATCAACACGCGTACAATATTATTCAATCAGGATAAAAATATATCAAGAAATATATTCTTGTTTACTTTCTTGTTTTAGGGATTTTAAATTTGATGTTTAATTCGAGGAAATCTTGCCAAGAGAAGAACTGTTTACGTAAAAAAATTGTTTCATAGACATAAATGACTGTTGCTGCAACTCTGAATATATACGAAGTAGGGCGCTCTCAGAGCTCATTCTCTTAGAAGAATTTTTTTTTATTTTATTTTTCAGAAATGATGTCCTAGCAGTTGTTATTCTAAGAAGAGTTAACTTTTATTAAGTGAGACAGTTGTAGTAGATTGTTTATAATTTTATTAAAACCATCTTAGTTCGCTTAGAAACGGATAATAAGTAACACACAAGAAGATAAAAATCACTCTAGAGCATCTGGTAACAGATCTTGTAATTTTAAACCGTAGGCAAATAGTCATCGTTGCCGTTCAGGTACATTCCTACATGGCAAGTGCGTATCTTCCGAATGATGGCATATATCGAAAGGATAACTCCAGTGATTGATAGCTTAAAAGGGTAGTTCAATAAGTCCTTGGAAAATCCAAGAGATGGAGCTCGTAGCATCAAAAAGGATTTGTTTAGTAAGCTTCATGACTCACCAGACAGCTGTCAAAGTTTCAGTTGTTTCTATATCATGGTTTCATTTTTATTGTCGGTTGAAGGCTAGATACTTGTGTTTGTTAAGAAAAAAGGAAAAGGGGGAGTTTCGAGCGGTGAATAAACATATATTTGAAAGGCTCGGCTATGAAAGAGATCAAAGCTGAATTTAATGAACTTATTCTGCTCCTGTGTTTGAACTGTTTACAACTGAGTAAATTAGTTGAAACGTGGCCTTTCATCCACAAAAGCTGGAAGTCAGTAGAACCAGTAGAAGTGACTACTCCCGGATTGATTAACAAAATCCACGATATGGTTTTGAGTGATGGACGAATCAAAGAACGTGAAATAGCTGAGGCCACTGGCATATCGCCAGGTACAGTGTTTTCAATTTTTTACGAAAAATTGGGCGTGAAAAAAATCTTGGTAAGACGGTTGCCGCGTTTGCTCTCAGTTTAAAACGAAATCGTGAAGTCGATTCTGAGGCTGTTTTGACGTTTTTTAGTAGCAATACTGACTAGTTTCTGCATCGATAAATAACTGTGAACAAAAAGTGGATACACAACTACACTCCAGAACCTAAGGAGCAGTCAAAAAGGGATTTTTGAAGGTGAACTGACTCCGAAGAAAGCAAAACGGTGAAATTGGACTGCAAAGTGATAGCCATGATTTACTGGGATGCACGCAGAATTATCAGAACTGATTACTTAAAAAAGGAAAAACAATAACTAGAGAGTATTAATCGTTGTTATTGCACCAGTTGAGGATAGAAATCTG